CCGGGCCAGCCTGGATGAGGGTATGATGGCTGTTTGCAGCTGGTCACACACCCTTCAGGGTGGGGGTCCCCACTGGGGAGCCTGGCCAGTCTGGGTGAGGGGCTGAGGGCTGTTTTCAGGCCGACTGAAGCTCCCAACTGCTCCTTTTTTTCTTTTTTTCTTTTTCTGGGCCAGCTTTAGCTCTGGCTCCAGCTCTGAGGCTTCTGCTGCTGAAAGAAGGTATCTGGTTGGTTTCGGTTCTATAATCGAAACACTGTATCAACTCCAGCTCTGAGATCCCGGGCTCGCTGAAAGCAGGTTTCTGGGGTTTTTTTTAGCTTCTATATTTGTTACAATGTTTCTTAAACCTCAAGCTCAGAGGCCGCAAAGCAGGCAGGGAACGTTGGAGTCCTCCGTCACTGAAGCAAGCAAGCCTCATGTTAGTTTCAAGCTGCCTGGCTGCCGGCCGCCATCTTGGCTGGCAGTTACTTTGCATATCTCGCTGATTAGGCAATGGGAAGGGTAGCAGTCATATGAGCTTCTATATTTGTTACAATGTTTCTTAAACCTCAAGCTCAGAGGCCGCAAAGCAGGCAGGGAACGTTGGAGTCCTCCGTCACTGAAGCAAGCAAGCCTCATGTTAGTTTCAAGCTGCCTGGCTGCCGGCCGCCATCTTGGCTGGCAGTTACTTTGCATATCTCGCTGATTAGGCAATGGGAAGGGTAGCAGTCATATGCCAATTACCATGTTTCTCTTTTATTAGATAGGACTAGGGGCCCGGTGCACTGGGGGCCCTCACCCCGGCCTGCCCCCCTTTCATAGTCCAGGAACCCTCACGGGACGTCCTACTGATGGCTTAGGCCCGCTCCACAGGGGGAGCAGGCCTAAGCCGCAGTTTGGCCTCCCTCTGCAGGAGGCAACTGGGCAATCAGGTATATACTTTCTGAAGGCAGCATAGACTCCTTCCTTATTTCTTGCCTCTGTTGTTGGAGAATAGGGGACTAAAAGGTGGAAACAGAACTGTGGCCATGCCTGGGGCTTTTGTAGGCAGTGGAAAGAGGGAGAGGGCTGGGAAAAATCTAGACACGTTTCCTTTAATTGTCCTCCCTTCCTCCAGCCCCTCCCTCCATTTTTTCCTTCTCATGGTGGACGCTCGGGTCTCGAACTGACAGGAACCCAGCAACGGAGGGGTTCAGCCCCCTCACTTCTCAGCTGAATGTACAGTCGCCTCACATTCTAAGTGGGACTGTTTTCAAGTAGTGAAAGCACTGGGATTTCACACCTACTGGCCTTTCCCTTCTCGGTTTCCTCCTTGGGTCTGTTGCAAATTTCACCTAAACACCAAAGCAGCTCTGCCCTGTTAGTTCTGCATTGGCCCCTGCCTGGGCCTCACCAGGCACTCTTCCTCAAGATCTCTGGGTCCACAGTCTGTGCTCAGGGAGGTCACCCAGAGCCCGTTCCTTCGGGCAGGTGGGGCAGGGGAGCTAGCTTGGAGAGCTGGAGGAAGATGGCAGAATAAGAGTCGGTATGAACCAGCATCCGCTCAGTCAGACTCCTCTAGCTGCCCACCAGGCCCAGGCCAGGCCCCTTCCCCACACCGGGGCAATCCCAGCTGAGGTCCCCTCCCTGTACCCAGCGCCCTCCTCCCTGTTCTACTACCAGGCGGTGGGAGCAGCTCACCCACTCTGGACCCTGTCATTTCTTTCATACTGATTATTCCTTTCACTATGTTTGCCCCTCCACACAAGTCCCCACTGCAAGTCCCCGCATAGGGCGTTGGTGGCCACAAGCCTCCTCCCTGTCCCTGAAGCATGGGGCAGGGTTGCAGCAGCTTGCGGCTGCCCCCAGGTGCCTTGCATGGAGACACTGCTTCCCCTTGAGCCACCATCTGGCCTGGGACCTGTGGGGGCTGGGATGGCCTCGGGATCCTGCTGGCCCCACCGAAGCCAGACTCGGCTTGGCCGGCCACCCCTCTGCCCGAGGGTTGTGTATGCCCCGCAGGCCCTGTCGCCCTCATGAATTGCCGCAGCCCGGCCATCCCGTCCCAGGAAGTAGCCATCCCGATCGCCATGGCTCACTCCCTGGTGCAATTGGGCCTGCCCGGCAAGCACATAGGCAGGAGCTGGGCCGCTGAGGGGAGGAAGGAGGGATGCATGGGCCGGGGCAGAAGCAGGGAACTTGTCAGTGCAAACACAGCCCCCCTGATGCCACGCCGGCCCCTCGCGCCACATTCCCAGACCCCCAGGCACCCCTGCCCAGTGCTGCACTCTTGGGCCTGGGGTGGGGGCGAGGGACCTGGGGCTACGGCCTGGAGGCAGCCCTCACTGGCTTGGAGTTCCAGTGGTCAGTCAAGGGGGGATGCGGGGTGCCATGAGGCAGCCTCACACAAGTCCCCACTGCAAGTCCCCGCCTCTCTCTCCCCGAGAGGTCAGCAGTTCAGCCCACTCGGCATGCTGCGCACGCAGCCTGGAATTCGTGCAAGCCTTTGGTCATTTTGGATGTTACGGACACTGGCTCTTTATATATAGATAGATAGTTGTGTGACTTCTGCAAATCAATCTGTCTAGCTTTCCTTATATGTGAAATGGACATATTAATTTTTATTTAATAGTGTTGGGATAGTACATGAATTTAATGACACAATAAAAGTCACTCTACAAATGATAGCTGTTTCAAAATTATCTTATTTATTGGGGAAAAAGTGGCTCAGCCATTCTTAGAAAAAAAGTAAATATTCTTATCAAACAATCTTTTTCATATCAGCTAGACACATTATTCTCATGATGTTCAACTTAAATATAAATGGTAGCTCTGTTTTCCTAGTTCCCATATATAAACATGGTAGACAGTGAAAACCTTGAGTGTTAGAGGAGATAAACTTGTATAGGCAAAATAGTATAGTACCATGTAGGAATATGTATTTAGTGAAAGTTTATTAAAGTTGAATGAGAATAGAAGGCAGCCATCATTTTATTTCTTGTGCTATTTAGGTCACTGAAAACAACTGAGAATTAACCTTTTAAAATACATAAGTATGAGTATATCTATATATTTTCAGAAGAAATATATACTTATCTCCTATATATCTCAGATATATATTTATATTTGGACTACATCAGAGATATATAGGTATGTTTAAGACATATTTCTAATATACCATGCATTTATCTCCAAAGGAAAAGGAGTGAGGTAAGCTTCCAAAAAGTTCATTCCCCTTATTTTACAAAAAATTTCCTTAAAAGTAAGTTTAGGTCACAAGAAAGCACAAAAATGCGTAGAGTTCTCATGTAGCCTTCTCCTAGCTTTCCCTATGATGGTATCTTGAATAACCATAGTAAAATAATCAAAACTAGGCGATGTTCAGAACTTAACCCCTTCTACTCTTTTTAAATAGAAGAAATTCTTTAGTTCTCACTTAATTGAGCTGCAGAATCATCACACTTAGTGTAAAGACATTTGGAAGTAAGAACATGTTGGAAGAAATCTTGGCTCTGCCACTTACTCATTCCTGTGTAACACTGAGGACTTTTGTTAGCATCTATGATAGTCTGTTTCTTCATCTGTACAAGGGGATATCATTTACCTTGCAGAATTGTAAGAATTGGCAGTTGTGTGCGCTAAAGAGCCTTTTCAAGAAATGCTAGTTTTCACTCTTAATGCTCTTTTGCCATGTTTTCATCAAAATTGAAAGTAGCTGGTCATTATCTTTAACATGATAGGTGTACTTTGGCAGTTTATGAATACCTGTGAGTTAAAGGACCAGTAACTGGTAGCATACTTGAACTACTTCATGGTTCCTCTGTGCTCATCTCTTTTTAATGTACCTGCTATATAGTGTATTGGCTTTCTGCCCCGTCCCCCTCAACTTACCTGTATAGCCAGCTCATCTCTCTCTCTCTCTTTTTCTACCTCATAGTCCAGAAGTCATTCCTCTCATTATACTAATTTTATTCCTTCTCTGGATTCCTTTTGTCATATGGATTCTCTGTAACCTAGCAATTTCTAGAAATTTGTGGGTTTTTTTAAAAAAAAAATTTGAATAGCACCTGACTTAATTCTGGTTTATAAGTAGTTGATTATAACCCTAGGTAGAGAGGCTCACTTCAAACACAAGCTCATACACCCAGCTCCTGGTTAGCCCTTCACAAAAGTTGCCCTCCAAGGAACATTGCTCGCAGTGGTGTGATGAGGCTTTACATGCTGCTGCCTTGGTGTCTGCAGAGAGGGGGAATGGTGTGCTGTCTCTAATCCCATCCACACATTCTCATCGCTCTGCTTGGGCATAGCTGTGAAGGCACAAAGTTCAGTGCCGTAATAATGCTCTTTATTGTACTTTTTCTCTTCATTTAGCTCAGAAGTGCCTAATTCTGTTTAAATACTTTAAAATGACTACTCTCTATATTGGCCCAATAATTGTGTTTTCTGGTAAGATCTTCTGGTATAAGGAAGACCCAAAGCTGTCCTCAAATGACAGTTTTCAGTTGATTTGGAATAGGATTTTTTTTTAACTTGTATTTACTGAGCTGCAGATTGGGAGGAGCCCATGGGCTTTCCAACTCTCTTCTGTAGCTTCCCCATCTACGCTAATCTAGTTTACTGCTCTCTTGAAGTCTGTGTAATCTACCCTATTTCCACATTTTTCATTTTATTTTTTTTCTTAGAGCTACCCTTTTTAGATTTTCCAGCTTTCCATTTTCAAGAGAGAGCCCATATTTCCGTATATCTCCATGTTATTCAAATGTGTTTCAGGAATGTTTAAAAATGTTCCTTTATGTTTTAAAATACCTCTTTGTGCTTTAGCAAGTGGCATATCATTTCCTGCTTCAGTTTTGGCCTTAGTCTGACAAGCCAGGGCTGAAGAAGGGGTGAAAAGTTCACTCTCCGGAAGTGCCACTTAGGGCGGAATCACGTGAGGAGGAGCAGCCTCCAATGGGTGGGAATTCCCTGTGGATGTGTTTCTTGGAGAAGGCAGCACAGAGGGTCTTTTTCTCAGTTCTTCTTTATGTGCTTGAATTTTTAATGAGTGTGTGGCACTATTATTATTCCAGGAACTCACTATAATGCCCTTATTATTGCCTAGATCAGTGTTTTAAAATGGAAAGTCATAACCCATTGGTAGGTTATACAATCACCTTTATAAATAGAGACCAGCATTTTTTAAAAAAGGAAATAGAAAATGTAAACAGTGCATTGTATGAAGTAAGAATGTATTGTTTTGTAAAACTTTTGTTTGATGTTACATAAATGCAAGATAATAGAAATATGAATTTTCATAGGGCCCTGCTTGTGTTTGTGTGTGTGTGCATGCGTGCTGGCTTCAGACCCTCCCTCTTATCCACAGTTCTGGTCATTCAGGAACCTAATTTTCAGAGTTTATGCACTTGTCAATGAATATGTTCTTACAAAATATACAGTTTCATGTTTTGGATTTATTGTACCTGCATTTTAACTTATGTGTGTTATATATCTCTTTTGTTTTTATTTTCTCTACCCAGGATTATATTTTGAGGCCTATGAATATTGCTACATATAAATCTACTCCATTGCTGCTCATGGCCTGTTACAGTGTGCCTAGAACACAATTTACTTATATTCTCTGCCATGGAAGGACTTCCACATTGTTTCAGCACAAGCAAGGCTCTGTGAACAACCTAGACATGCCCCCTGTTAGAAAATGCCAAAGGACATTTATTTAGGATCCAGACTAACAGAATTGCTTGGCTATAGAGCATATGTATGCAACTCCAATACCGTAAACAGTCTAATTTCAGAAGTCCTCTCAGATTACCACCAGAAGGATTCACCAGTTCACCCCCCC